TCCCATCGGCGAATACCGGTCCCGATTCTTCCCCACCAAATCGTCCAACTGCCCGATATGCGGTGTTCTCGAAACGAGACACCACATCCTCAATAGCTGCCCACGCTACGTTCGACCGCGGAGAATGCGTTTCGTAGAGTTTCTAACAGACTCAGCGGAACCCATCCCGGAGTTAGTCCGGTTCCTTGCGAGGAACCCAACGTCATTCACATTCGCTGATGCCCCGCCACATAGGAGAAGGAGGAGGTGCCGCGATCGAGCTCAACTCGGCCTGGATACGGGTCTGTCATCCTACTTCCCTAGTTTCGTTTCACGGTCTTTTACTTAGTGCACGAGAACTTGGGTATCAGCTCCATTTTCGAGTACAGTACGGTACGGTACAGGTCTCGTCCCTAGTTGCTTACTTGTAGATACGCAAGGCGCCCCTGGCTTCGCCGGCGCGGTATAAATATGTTGACTCAAAAAAAAAAAAAAAGAACCGCGGCTGCATATGGTTGCGGAAAAAACCTGCTTGAGGGTTCCTTACCAGTAACTTACCGACCCGGCGCCGGAGGGGGGTGGTAAATTACTGGTAAGATACCGCATCACGTGCACTAAAATATCATGTGACCGCTCATTTTCCTCTCAAATTCCTCCCAAAAAAAACCGAGCGCTGCCGCGCGGCGCGCCACCTCGGATGTGCTCTTTGCACAATGCTACCAGCTGCCACTTTCATGTGGATCCATTGCTATACATATGATTCCCAATGATAGCAGACTGTCTCGAAATCACTTGTTCAGTCCATAGAGACTGAAAAGATCAAGGAAAGTCGACACAGCAGGCAGGGATCATGGTGTGGCGCTTGAGCCACACCGGCACAAAGACCTGCACGTGACCATGTTGCGGGTAAGAAACTCCAGGGCGTCGGTAGGGGGCAGGGAGCGACAAACATTACAATTACGAGGTATTACTTAGAAATACTTACGATTACTTACGATTACTTACAGTTACGGCGGCTGCGCTTCTAGGATCTATTTCGTTACAATTACTTTCGATTACAGTCGAGGTACGAAATGATTACTATTCAATACTATTCATTTGTATGATCCATACGCACCAAAGACATTTTTGGGTCAGGTGGAAGCTCCGGATAGGCCCCGACTGTTCGATTGCCGCCACATTCACCTTTTGGGGATGAGTGCCCGTAGCCTGCTTTTCGCCACATTTTTGCTGTTCTACCTGCCGTTCAACTCAACCCTGTAAGGACACGGGAAAATCATGTGTATATCACTTGCAATGCTGCAGCACTTGTATCATTCAACATTAGTGCGAGTGAGTTGCTGAACCAAAAAGATATAATGCACGTGCACGGAAGAGATTTCATACCATTACTTACCATTACTTACGAATTGGGCGCAATACAGGGGGAATACATTACAATACATTTCCGGATCTCAACGCGCATGATTTCGAGGGAATACTATTAGATTACATTACGCGGCAGTAATGTAATGTAAGTAACGTTTGGGAAACCCTGGTAGGGGGTCGGTAAGATACTGGTAAAATACCAGTAAAATACCGGTAAATAATCGTTTTGGGAAAAAACCTCGGTTTTTTCCGCAACCATACAGATCGCCCATCAGTGGCCACAAAACTGAAGGACTACCTCCACGTCAGATATCACGGCTAGTCAGAGCTCAAAGGCTATTTCCGCCCTCAGAGAAATGGACGACGATCATATGCGTGGAATGTTGTATAAATACAGCATCAGTGAGGTAGTGCTCGAAGGAAGTCTCCGCCGACAAGGAATGTTACACGCGATGCTGATGCTGATGCACGACTTGGGGTGTTAGAAAGAAACGACGTACGAAAGGTCCATACATCCATTTCTCGCTGCACGACTTGGCGAGTTCGCCCCACCCTACGTCTGGTCTGTCGCCCGCCGTTGGGGGAGGCTTGGGCACATATTTGTCCAGGAAAGACTCAATGTCCACCGGCCCTGCGAAATTGCCAGCACATTCTTGAGCCAAGCCCTTTTGAAGGACATCGACTGGTGTTTGAGCGTTCGAATACCGCTGAGTGCTGTCGAGCTTGTTCGACACCATCGTGTTCTGCTGGGCGAGGGGTGTCGAGCGGGCAGACTGCTGCTGATGACTGGACGAGGAAGATGGAATAGCTGGGGGACGCTTTGGAGATGAGGGTTCTGTGGTAGTCGACTTGGCTGGAGATGGAGGTTCGGTGGAAACTGCAGTGGCTTTGACCGTGGCATTGACCTTTGGAGGGGCAGTGTTGGCCTGCGTATCCTTAAGCCTCGTGCTTCTTCACGTTGTTTTGCCCATGATGATGGTGATGTAGCACGTCGTAAAACGCGAACTCGAAGATACAGGCGCGTCGAACGAGTTGAACGCGCTATCGATTCTTGTCGCGTCCTGACACCTCTCTCGGCAAGCTCCGCCATCTCCGCGTGGTGGCACCACTGGCGCGGACTCTGCGCCACCCTTCGTCTTCTCAATGTTTGTAACTTAGACTACTACATCTTATCTTGCCCAACGCGTTGGGCTAAGAACTCAGTCGACGCAGATTTGCATAGACTAGGACGAGCGACTGCTCAATTATCAATCCTTCGTCTTAAGCTACTACTGTACTTTTTCGACCAAAGGTTCGTCACGCGTTCTCCGCGCTGGTGAACCGAACAAAATCCTGCGTGACCTCACGCATAATGCATGGTGAGCGAACAGTGACCTCGGCAGGCGCTTGCGCAAAATGATCATTTTTGCAAGCGCCTACGTTGTTTTCTGAACTATTTACGGGTCCCGTCACGCTCACGCACGGTTTCTGAACCGTGACCGGGGCGAAACTGATGGGTGACGTACATTTCTGATGAACCTTTGGTCGAAAAAGTACAGTAGTCAGTGTCAATACAGGATCCTACCGCCACAACAGAGCATCCCTTGTCACGTTTCCATAAGTTCGTTTCCGACAGGATATCGTTCTCCTCTTCCACCAACGCATCTGTCCTATCTGTCCCCAACATGGAATTCCCGCTGCACACAGGTTTTGCGCTCACGAAGAGCACCCACAGTGATACATACCCCTTCATTGATCCTCTGAAACCCTCTGGCACCCACAAATCTCATTCCGTCTTCATCACCGGTGCTTCCAAAGGCATAGGTCGCAGGATCGCCATCTCGTTTGCTCAATCTGGGGCCTCGAAGATAGTAATTGGCGCTCGTTCATCTCTCGACTCTCTCGAATCCGATATTCTCGATGCTGCTTCGAAGGCAGGACATCCTGCCCCACAAATCGTGAAGATACAGCTCGACATTCTCGACAAGGAGAGCGTGAAGCGTGCTGCACATGAAGTGGGGAACGCTCTTGGTGAAGGAGGATTGGATATCTTGGTGAATAATGCTGGGTGGATGGAGGAGTACAAGCTGATCGGGGAGACCGATGTAGACGAGTGGTGGTATACTTGGGAAGTCAATATCAGGGGGTTATTCCTAGTGACCAACATGTTCTTGCCGTTAGTACTGAAGGGCAAGGAAAAGACCATCGTGAACTTGACATCGATTGGGGCTCATCTGACGATGCCAGGGGTGAGCAGTTCTTCCATCTTACTCTGTTTTCATCTAGACTGATGACCGGGGTGATGGCACGTAGGGATCATCGTATCAGTCGAGCAAGCTTGCCGTTCTGCGCTTGACGGAGTTCATGAATGTACGTCTCCCTGTGTTTATATATTCTCGAATATTGCTCTCATCATCTATCACTCGTCTTGTTTACTACAGGTCGATCATGGTCATGAAGGGCTTCTGGCGTACGCAATCCACCCCGGAGGCGTTGCCACCGACATGGGACTCCGCATGCCGTCCTTCACGCACGCTCTCCTGACCGAAACGCCTGAACTGGCTGGGGATACGATCGCTTTTCTGACCAGAGAGAGGAGAGAGTGGCTGGCCGGTCGTTACATCAGTTGTGAGTATTCTCGTGCCCTTTCCATGTCTGGAAACTCTCATCATATCTATTTCTTTACTAGCTATCTGGGATATGGAAGAGCTACTTGCGAAAAAACAGGAGATTGTGAGCGGAGACAAGCTGAAGGTCCGCATGGTGGTGTAACTGCACCGACCCTCCAATACCAAGTGCATGGATATATTCATTTGCTCTGCGCAATTATACCCCAGCCACTGTTTACTCACACCTCCTTCCTACCTTTACTATCTGACAAACAAGACCGGCGACCTGAGGGCGATGCACGCCACATGTACAAATGCGCCATCGTGAGTGTCACATTGACCTCGCTCGGACTTGTTGTTGCACGTTTCAGACCAATCAGCTCCAAACTCTCTGCGAGAATCAACGTCAAGCGTGTCTATCTAAGTCTTTATCGTCCACACTTTCCTGGCACAATCGACTACATACTGAAGCCCGGTTCGCCACCATCTCCCTGTCAATCACTGCTACCGACATGCTCAGAGTCATACACCGCTTTCTGTATTGGTACAAGGTGTATACAAACTTCTCACGGTTCCCTTTAAGCATCATCTCCCCTGAGAAACTTTACATGATACAGCAACCCCAACCCCCGTTCTGCCGGCGCTCATATTCCCGTCGCTCCTCTTCCCGTCGCCGTTGTGCTTGTAAGCCTTCCTCTCGGATGGCCTGAAGACGAGCTATGCGCTGCTGCTCGTCCAAGGCCCGTTGGCGAAGCTGCTCTTGTACCTGCGCTTGGCGCAAACGACGTGCCACCTCTTCCCGCTGTTCCGCGATTCGTTGACGTACTCCCTCATCCACCAGCCCCCCCATTTGTTGACGGGCTGCAACTCGACGAATTTCAGCCTGGCGCAGAAGTTCCTCTTGCTGGCGGTAGTTTACGCCCTCTAGATGAGGAGCAGGCGCAGCAGCTTCGTTGTCGACAGCGTGCATGCCGCCGTGTGCAGCATCCATGTGTCGATAAATCTCTTGCGGCGGAAATTGGCCTCTACAGATCCAGCACCAATGTGCATTACAAAGGCTGTAGAAGAAACCAAGTCATGATATTTTAGTATCGAGGGGCAATCCATCCGGACACTGATTAAAGCACTCACCGACATTGCATATGGTTGCACCCCTCCGTCTTCTCAATATGCGCGCTGCATTGAGGACACCTCTTGATACGTCCACCCTGGTCGAGGATCCACTGCTCGTTCAGTCGCTCTTGCTCCTCCGGGTTCTTGGCCAGTTTATACGCCTCACAGTTCATTCCCTCGTGACCATCCTCATGACAGGACGAGCAAACGGTGGCGAAGCAAGATGGGCAGCTGAGAACGGTAGGAGAATCTGGGCCCGTGGCGCGATAGAGCTGATTGCAGTCTGGAGTCTTGCAAAACTTGAACTCGAGGGGATGGTTTGCGACGTGGGCGGAAAAAGCGAGTTCGAGCAAGTGATCGAAGGATCTGGGAGGCAGGAGATCCTGAATGGTAGGAATAGCAATGGAGACATCGCAACGAGCTTCGTCGCCCATGCAGACGAGGGGAAATTGCTGGTTCGGTTCGAGTGCGCTCTTTAAGAGGTGCCGGACGCATGCGAGACAGTAGACGTGTCCACAACCGAGCTGGACGGGGGATGAGACGTCGTCGTAGCAGACAGGGCAGGTGTGCTGTGTCGAAGAGCGGGAGGCCAGGATGTCTGGGCCTGCCAACGATTCGGTGATCAAGCGGTCAAGCGTATGCCACGCATCCTCTCCGCCCCTGATAGTGATCTGACGAGTCGCCGGATTGAGTCTCACACTATCCTCTCCGAAAGCATTCTGAAGCTCTGGGACTCCGCGCCGAATGAAGAACCCAACGGACTGCTTCTTCAGTGTCAAAGTTCGCTGGGTCGTAGCGAGGGCCTCGAGCTCTGCTGTGATGATAGCACGAGCACGTTCGACAGCTCTGGACTCTCCATAGACCTTCAGAGCCATCTGCCTCCAGTCGACCCGGAAGAACGCGCCAGAATCGTTCAGGATAGACCGAGCAAAGGCATCTCGGGCTAACGAGTGGTGCCACCCATCTACCGTCTCACCCGCCGCCAGAGCCTCGACTCGCACCTTCAACGCACCGACCGCCGGTTTGACAGAACCTGCCACGCGAATGTGGACAACCGGACCATGCCTATGAACCAACAAATCGCAGGCTTTTTGGTCCTTGATCGTTTCGCGAAGGGATGTCCAGAGGGTCTGCTGGGCCTGGTACTGGCCCTCTGGGATGGTGACGGTGTAAAGCATAGGACTGGGTAGTCGGAGCCATGGAGTTGCGTTTCCCAGATACGACAGTCGATTTCCCTCTAGCTGATGACGAACTTGTTCGGCTTCATCCCAAGACCTAAATTTGACACGGACAGATGCGGTATCCTGTGATCCTGCAGGTGAGATCTCGAAAGAGGTGAAAGGGTAGAGTCGCTCCAGAGCCTCTCTGAGGAGACGAATACCGCTCTCGGAATCGTAGGCGGGACCCGGTAACCTTTTGATCAGAGTCGACCCACAGAAGTCGATGATTTCTGCATCCGTGACCGTGAGGGGAAGGTTAAACATCTTAATGGAGTTCGGACGGAAGTAGGGGAGTGCACGTCCAGGAGGGGGTGTATTCATTTCGACCTTCACGCGTCGCCCGTGAAGGTGGCGTCCGTTGAGCTCCTGTACTCGACGAGCTGCGTGAGGGATATCGTCAAATTCCGCAATATAACGCGCAGAGGGCTGACGCCAGGAGATCGTCAATACGTTAGAGTCGCGAGAAGGAGCTCCCATGGCCAAGCCGTTACATGGCCCAACTTCGAACGTCAAACGCTCGTCTCGAAACTCGATATCCTCCAGCCCAGCGGTTATAGCACTTCCCGTCTCGGCGTCCATGATGACCTCCGCGATCTGCTTTCCTTGTATGGGCTTCATGTGAACGAGCTGAAAACGCATGGGATCGATACCCTGTTGGGTGAATATGTCCGAGACCTCGTTCAGTTGAGCATCTAGTGGGAGGTTCTTGATCTTGACTGTGCAAGATTCGAAGCCGGTGATAATTTGCTGAGCCTCGAGTCCGGCCGCGAAAGTGACCATGGATCCGAGTGTAACCGTCTTGATCGTCTTTGCCGCGTTCTGCTGGGCAATCTCCGCCGCGCGAGCCTGGAACTCTGCCTGGAGTTCTGCTCTGCGAGCCTCTCTAGCTCTCTCTTCCTCGGCTAGTCTCTGCTGGCGAGCACGCTCGCGTTCTTGTTCGATTTTCTGGAGCATGCGACGCTGTTCCTCTTGCTGCGCAAGTTGAGCGAGACGTCTAGCTTCCGCTTCTTCAGCCAGCTTCTCCTGACGAGCGCGCTCTTGTTCTGCTCGGCTGTTCTGTAGTACGCGTTGTTGCTCCTCTCGCTCTCCAAAGCGTGACTGCCGATTGTTTCTTTGTCGTTCGACCTGATCGTGACCGTTATGATCCTGTGAAGAGGTCATGTGAGAACTCTGTGCAGCGTTCGAATCTAGAACAGAAGTAGCGGGTGGCGCACCGAAGCCGGATGGCGAAATTGGCACTGCGACCCCTTAGAGCACGCTCCTGCCTTCCACGCACGACAGACAGGAGCCCTGCCCGAGATCGGGCGATGATTTTGGGAGTTATAAGGCTCAGCGTGATGGTTGGAGCTCGTATCTGGTGGAGCCGCCATGGGTAGTCCTGAGGGAGTTCGTTCCGCGCCACTCGAAAAGAGTGCCTGATCAACCTGAGGTCCAAATCGTCTACTTCGAGCTCGTTGAGTATGAGAATTTGCGTTCCCGGACGAAGAACGCTCCTTGCAACGTGAGGTGTAGATTGTCAGTATCTGGTAAATCAAGTAGTTGGAACCACTCACCGAGGTGATAGGCACGGCATGACTGAACTTGCACGTCTCACCATAGCGGCAGGCACCCTTTGCGAAGAAACGGCATGGCGAGTTCGTATGATTATCAGTGTTTACCCTGGGTGTTGCCATCGTCGACGTCGTGGGTCGAGGAAAGAAACGACTGGCGTGGGTACTTGTCATTAGAGCGTAGACCACAGGCGCCTGCGCGCCACAGTAATTCAAGGCGCCTCATGCCTGTATTTGGCAGCCGAACATACCAAGTAGTACAGCTTGGTTCACAGCGGCACAGAAGCGCTCACCGCCGCTTCTAAGAACCAGATGCTTTCTCGGAGAAGAATTCTACTTGAACCAGCCCAAGCCTCAAGCTGCAAGTTGAGCGAAATAGTGCCTTTGGGGACTGTGGCAAGTCAGGCATCAATATCGCCAATGTGGATAGAAGAAGGGTATGTTGTTTCGAGACATGTCGCCGACTTGGGATGGTGGACTGGTCATGGCCACAGAAACGATGATTAGCGACATACGAACGTCGAAAAGTTCAAACAAACAGACACGACAATAAACGGACGTCGACGGTCGGGAACCGCGGCACCTCCCAGAATATCGCGTCTCATCCTTAACCACGCTCCCATCGGCGAATACCGGTCCCGATTCTTCCCCACCAAATCGTCCAACTGCCCGATATGCGGTGTTCTCGAAACGAGACACCACATCCTCAATAGCTGCCCACGCTACGTTCGACCGCGGAGAATGCGTTTCGTAGAGTTTCTAACAGACTCAGCGGAACCCATCCCGGAGTTAGTCCGGTTCCTTGCGAGGAACCCAACGTCATTCACATTCGCTGATGCCCCGCCCACATAGGAGAAGGAGGAGGTGCCGCGATCGAGCTCAACTCGGCCTGGATACGGGTCTGTCATCCTACTTCCCTAGTTTCGTTTCACGGTCTTTTACTTAGTGCACGAGAACTTGGGTATCAGCTCCATTTTCGAGTACAGTACGGTACGGTACAGGTCTCGTCCCTAGTTGCTTACTTGTAGATACGCAAGGCGCCCCTGGCTTCGCCGGCGCGGTATAAATATGTTGACT